TATTAAATTTAAATCTTTTCTTTAGTTGTTCTAAATATTACATAAATATTTATATTTGTAAAAAAAACTATTATTTACATTTAAATTATATTTATGTTTATAGATTAAAAAATTATAAACTCGATAAAATAGCATATCTACCTGTATAATTTTTCCCAAACACATTGTGGCATTTTAAAGAGAGTATCAATTTTGTGCATTGCTTCATCTTTGGGATAAGTATTTGTCCCTACTCTTTGTTTGAATAGTTGATTATCTCCATCATCTCGAGCTGGAAAAAAGTAACAAGATCAAAATAATTAATAATAAAATAGTAATAATAATAAAAGAATCAAATAATTCATCAATTGTAAACAATATGTACTTCTTTTTGTGCGGATGCAGCTGGATTTGATTGAAGTTTTTTTTTTTTTAGATGATGTTTTAGCCTTTATATCTGAAAAAGATTGTTTAGCGTATCTCTTTTGAGTGTATCTCAATAAATTGAATATTAATATTACCGAAATCCATTTCATTATCACTAGGAACATATTCGCTTTCTGAACTATTGTCAACAATTTCATTTGCTTCATTGGAGCCTGTCTTGTCTATACTTTGCACAGTGTTATCTTTGCTGTTCTCATGTTTAGATTTTTGACATTTTTTATCCATTCTTGTATCAGTATCAAGTAATTTTGTTTTTTTGATTGGTACTGTATCTTTGTCAGGTGTCTTAGATACAGTCTTTAATTTTCTCTTTTGTTCAGCAAGAGCAGCTTGTTGTTTGAAGTATTTCTCAAGATCAGACAATTGAGAACTTTTATTGGCACTCCTAAAATAATGTAAAATAATTATTGAATTTAATTGTGAAAATTTGAATTATTTAAACACTAGGCTTATCAATTGTTACAATCAAAATTTAACTTAAAATTACAAGTAAAAGAAAATGAACATTTTATACCCTTCTTTTTGCTCTAAAGCTGACTGTTTAAATACTGCTTCAAATGGAGTAATTTCTCCAATCTCAACCTGTTTTTGCAACTCTGCTTTATGATTTTCTTTGCTATTAATTTTGATATTCCTTTTGGCATTTGGTTCAACATCATCTTGTATTCTATGCTGATTGTTTAATTTTGTAGTACGTTTGATATGTTCTGACACTTCTTGCAAAATGCTGTCTTCCGTTTTAACTGACACTATCTATAGACATCAGCAGATGTTATTTTATAAAAAAAAAAAGAGGAAAAGATATGAACAAAACATTTCATTATTTTAATGTGCCACATGTGACATAAAGTGACATAATTAATTTTAATTCAACATTTAAGTTAATTCAACAGTTTACTTAATACTCTAACCTAAATGATTGCTTAATATTATTGCTTGAATTACCTCTTGCAAATCACTTGGAAACTCGTCGCTAAACATATTTCCTATCGTGTCGTCGGCCAGACTCGACACACCACTGTCGTTATTACTTGCCTCTGCCATGTTGACTCTGTCACGTTAACATATCATTTCGCGACGAAGATATGTATTATTAAAACGGATTCGTAATCGATCTTCCAAACTCATTACAAAGTCGTGCATACAGTACAGATATAAATTGTACAAATCAACTAATCATTCGTCATTCAAATCTAAACCCGGCTCAAGCAAAAACTTTATCCCTGTAATCTCGCGATTGTTTTTATCGCGCAGGAACTGCTGTCTATTTTACCGATCGAATGTCGCTTTAAATTCAAATTCGTGTATCATATCTATAGAGGTGCGTTCCAAATTACTCATAAAGCGCATATGATGTATCATTTAATTCTTTTTTATTATTTGGTGAATAACAAGGATAAATGATGGAACATGCGCTTCATGCGTAATTCGGAACGCACCCTATGTAGACTGATGACGCATTATAATCTGATAAACGATAAATTACGCAACATGTCAAAATAAGTTAGGAATACATCAACATGCTATAAATATATGTTGCGTTCATATCAATTGCATGCCTCATTTGCAAATTAATGAGATTAAAAGAAAAACTCAATTTATTTTTATAATAAGAAATAATATATTAAATTATATCGATATCTCAAATATGTAACAATCTTTATCAGAATTCACAATAAAGTAATTCATATTTTTTTCGAATAATTAACGAGATTGTTATTTCTCTTAAATCAAAGCATTGCGTTTTTTCGCTTATATAAACATGTTACAAATATGTATCATCGGATTTCACAATAAACATAAGGCGTTCTTTTTGGCTGAATTTTTACACCAGTTCATCTTTCTTCTTCTTCTTTCTTCCTAAAGAGAAAAGGAAGAAAAATAAATTGGTGCAAAAGTTCAGCTAAAAAGAACAGGCCTATAATTCACATTTTTCTTATATATTTTATATATGAAATTATTTTTTTTTTAATCAAATCGAAAATTCGCATCCTTTAATTTGCTTATTAAAGTGATAAATTAAATAAGACAATGGCGAACTCGAAATAATACAATTGAAAGAGAAATAAAGGAAAAAAATGATCTATTCTATAAAACTACAGTTTAAGATAACATAGAAGAAGCAACAGATTTCGCAGGTAATTTACGGTTTACGGGTATGCGAAAACCATCGGCAGTTCTATAGAATTTCTTCTCGGGGGTTCGAATAGGTGGTGTTATGCCCGCGGAATTCATAAAATTCATTGATGATGCCAGAGAATATCTGCAAATATAAAGAAAATATAATAAAAGAGGATATTATAATATCATTTAGACATTTTACTTTCAAATTATCAAAATTGAATGGCATAATATAATTAATTGTATGTAAAGCAAAAACGAAATTTCATAAGGAGATTTGTTTTTGTTTCTTTGATCTCGTTCAAAAATATAAAAATCGTTCTTTTTGTATTGTTCAAAATTTCATACTTTACCCTGTGTTCGATTGATTCGAAAAAATACCGGAGTCGGTCATCGGCATTTCTATTCGGGATCGCGGAGTTTCCTTATTGCCCATCTGAATAAATAGCAGTTTCTTTTCGAGTTTCTCATTAGCCTTCTTCGAAGTCACGTATTTTTCCGTCAACGCTCTCAAATTGCGACGGTCTAGCCAGTATCGAGTTTTCAGTACCTCATATTTTTTATCCTTTTGAACGCATCATCGATAGCAAAAATTAAAAAAAAATGATATACGTAAAAGAAATATAATAAAATTAAATCACAAAAAATTAAGATTAGGAAAAATCAAAAGTAAGAAAATAGGAAAGATAGGTTCTGATTTTATATACAAGATTGGAAGCGCAGCATTTGTTATTTTTAAATTGATGATTGTCGCAAAAAATGACCGTCGGAATTTAAAGAAAAATGGAAAGAAACAAATAACAGAAACATAAGGATAGTTAAAAGACGAAATGTAAAAAATAACACAGCACAGATCATTCCGGCAATATTTCAGTAATATGGTAATAACGTTGTAAACATGGCAGCAATGTTATTGCAAATTTCTGTGCTGTATGGAAATAATAAGAAATTAAAACTAGAAGAAACTAAGTGATAAGAGAATAAGAGACTCTGATTATATGTACAAGTTCCTGGAAGCGTTGCATCAATATTTTAAACTGATTGTTACGGAACGAGTCCACCTTCAACAACATTTCCATAGTCTCGGCAATAGAAGTGTGGAAGAATGGTGTCAACTTCGGTATCAACGGCTCTTCTAATGCTAACGAAATGGTGCCGATACGTTGACATTGCGGACACTGCTTCTCGACTGTAAAGTCGTGAATCGAAGGTGAATAGAAAAAAAATCGTGGAAAGTTATACATCATAATGTGAAATATTTCTTAAAATTTACATTGCTGCAGACAAGTCTGACAAGAGATATGACCGCACTGTGTAATGTAGTACGGACGTTTGCCTCTATAAAGTGGAGTGAAGCATTTGTTGCAGATTAACATGTTCATTTCCATCTCTTTAGAATGCTGAAAAAGTCAATTGCGTAATTTTTTAAATTGTTCAAAACAAAAAGTAATCATGATATCAAAATAGCATTATAATGGTTCCAAAATGATTATAATTAAAAGTTACTTGTCGATCAATTACGATTTATTTTAACGAGTTTGATAATCGTGATTTATTATTTTAGTTTTGAGAATTAATCCTTTTCTTTCTCTTAAGTAAATCGCAATGAAACGTGATTTATTAATCTTTGATCATTTTTGAGGCGTAAAAAGTGAAATATATTTACAGGATATGTTAGATAAAATTGAAATTTACTTTTGTCGCGTATATATTTAACTTTGATTGAATGAAATCCGATGAATACTATTTTTTTGGATACTATTTTTCATGGGAATAAGTGTAATGATACTATTTAAAATTGTTAGTAATGCTCGAAATCAAAGCCGCTCACTTTCGCGCCGTTCTTCATCGTATAAGTGAACAACGATAAATTTGCAACGATTTACGATGTTCTTTTTCTCGTGGATGACAAAGGAGATATATACATAAGTAGAAAGAAAGTCGAAACAGTCGAAGCAAAAATATATAAAGTCGGCAAGAAGTCAACTTCAGGAATTGCAAAGCGGCAATTTCAATTACTTCCAAGTCGGTTCGTTCCGAATAGTCCGAATTGACATCCAATAGGAAAGCCTGACTCTTAGGAATTTCAGCAAACGTAATTACAACTGTCACTAGGATGCGCGAGAGACCATCCTGATTCTTCCGGAAATTGTCCAGCCAATCCGGTTCGGCCTCGCTGTATCACAATCGCAGCATAGCATAGTCGCAGGCGTAGATATATCAGGAATATCAGTACATATCAGTTTTTCAGTACATGCAGGTGCATAACGCGTCGGTTATTCACAGTTCACACAGCGGTTGACGATTATCGGGACGTAAAGGTGCGGTAACGGGCACCTCGCGGAGTCACTGTCGCAGGTCATCGTGATTGCGAAAAATGCGACAGCCGCGCGTATGAGCAAACTCCTAGGTAAAAGAGGAAAAAAAAAAGAAAAGAAAGGGAAAATCGACGTATTTCCGTGCGCGGACATCGTGCATAACAATATAAGTACGCCACGCCACGGTAACTGCCATATCCGATTCGTTCGGGTCCCGGCTGTTCTTTTTTTTCCTTCTTTTTCTCTCTCGCTCTTGTTCCCTCCGTCTCTCCCCGTCGAATGTTGCATCTCGCTCTTTTGCGAACACGATTGTCGCGATCGCCTCCGTGATATCTGATATGATTACAATACCTCTCCGTCCCGAGGTGCGATAGCCTCCGTTATCCGTGAAATCGAGCCCGATAGCCGCCGCCTCGCCCCCCTCCTTCCTCCTCACGTTTCTTCCCACCGATCTCGTTTCTTTCGCGATCGCGAACCCGCTGACCGCCGCCGCTGCCGTCTCCTCTTCCTTCGCCTCCTCCCGCTTCCGCTCGCGTTGCGTGTCCGCGTTCGTGACGCCTGGTATAAGTGACTGTCGTACAACCGGACGACGCCGAGTGCTTCAACGCTTCGGCTACGCGAGTCTCTCGGCGGAGACAATCGACTCCGCAAGGTAAAAGTTGGAAGAAATGGATGGAGTTGTAAACTGATAGTGCTTTGAAATGATGATGCTTTAAAAAAAGTGAAGTCGATCAAATCTTCAGAGCTCTGTTCCACGAGAGACTCGTATCCATAGTCATGGGGATTCTCGCGATCGCTGGGCGTTCCTAAGGAAAAGGACGAAATTTACCGACAATCTGTTTCTCTTGACCGTATTTACTTGTGTTTTCTCGTCATTTGAAATAAGTGTCTTCTTGGAAATACGAACGGAGAAAAAGAGGAAAATCGTAAGAAATCGCAGCTGAGAATTCAGCTTCGGCTGATTGTCATTATTTTTCCCCCACAAAAAATTTAGAACTACGATAGCTATATAATTAACAATTGAAACGAACAAACGTTGGTTTGAGCAGTCAACAATAATAATAATAAATAGTAGATTAACAATTAAATATAAAGGAAGTATAAAATAGCGGACGAGAGAAAAATTGGATTATTTTTTTATTTTTTTCACATTTTACTATGAATTTTGCTTCGAATTATAATTGTGGTTTAATATTATTTTGAAAAGAATAATTTATTATCATTGTGGACAGGTGAATAATAAGTTGCGCCACAGTCCTTGAACCGTGCAAAAACAAAACAATCATGGAATCATCAGACAGTAGAAAGAACGTATATCTTACAAAAACCGGGGACAATTCCTTGAACTCTGGAATGAGAGAGACTATGATTGTCGGCCAGGCTAATATGGTACCAGGTATATAGTCAGAATAAGTATTATTATGTAGATTCGTCTTGGCTGTATCATACCCATGTATTTTTTTTCACAGAGTGTGCAGAAGGAGTGATGAAACCCAACAATGTGTCCAATGTTTCCGCTAATCAGACAAAGTGGACTAATGGCGGTTCTAAAAATTATATCACAATACCGGTAAAGAACGAGGTGAGACAATTAATACAATGCCTTAAAAATACTTGAATTTATAATGACCCAAACTTAAACCATATAGAAACCATATAGAAAATATAATTTAAACAATCAGAAAAAAAGGAGATGAATTGTTATTTGAATTAGATCTGTTTAATCAATATAAATGAAAAATTTATTATAAAGTTTCTTATGATATCTTCTTATTAATGATAGTTAATATTAATTAATATATTATATTTAATTAATGATTAATACTAATCTATTTCAAGGTCGTACATCTTGAAGACGGTAATGCACATTGCAACAACAAGAAAATGTATTATTATGATAGACACTACACTGGGCATGAGGAACCAGAAAGACCAACACGCAGAGGAACAAAAAGATACAGAGACAAGGATGCACCAAAACGGGCATTGTATGTTAAATTGAAAATTAATAATATTTAGACAGAAATATATTTCAAAAATGTTAATAATATAAACTTGCACTTTTTTGTTCTGCTATGCTTTTATCAATGAAGATTTTTCAAATCCAGACAGAATTTGTCGATATAAAACAATATCCAAGTATTGAAGTTTTTTTTTTATGATATTTATAGTGATTTAATATGTTATAGATCTGCATTTTTCTACTTCTGCCAAGAACTACGTGGCAAGATGAGAGAATTGCATCCTGAGATGGGAGTAGGTGACATTGCAAAGGAATTAGGAAAATTGTGGATGAGTACGGATTTACAGACAAAATCCAAATATATGGCCATTGCAGAGGAAGACAGAGCTCGATACGAAAGAGTATGTTTATACCGAAATTAATTAACATATTAAAGACTTTCGATTTTAATATATTCTGTTGATTTGCATTAATATATGATAATTGATTATCTTGACATAATTAATTTGTTCACAAATTTAATGAAACGATTTTTAATGTAGGAAATCATCGCATATAACAAGAGAGTTAAAAATTATGACCCGGAAGAAGTTGGAACCGTATAAATTATAATATGGACTCATGGGATGGACAAGGATGACAACTTTATTCTAATTCAAGAACTGCAGATAGTCGGAGTTCAAACTTGCAACAGACAAGCGAGTTTTACTACTAACCTAGAATTATCGTTGTATATATTATGTATACTGTTGATATTGTCCGGAAAAGAAAGAAATCTCTGTCTTTCAGAAATTTGGTTATATACTTAGAATGCTAAAAAAGCCAAATTTGAAAAAAAAAAAGAATTCCATTTTGTAATGAATTTCTATATCATATGCAAATGCTATATTATATACATAACTAACATGTGCATTATATGATATATATCTTATATACAATTATATATAATATATATGTTATATATACATGCATATATATATATATATATATATCAGCTATGTGTAATGAGCACAATAGAATCTTCATTATCCAAATCTATTTCATCATGCTTATGATTATTTGAGCGTTCCTTATATTCATGTAATGTATTCATTTGATCGATCGAGCGTTCGAATAATCAAGTTCTTATTATATGCGTTTTAAGGATAGAAGAATAATAGTTAGCATTAATATTAAGCAATGATAGCGATAACGTTCGAATAATAAAAAAAGAAACGTACATAATGCACCATGCATCTATATTGTAGAGTTATAGTAGATCGCTTCGCCGAGACATAAGAAATGGTGCGAATGAAATTAATTAACCGGAACAATAAAGAAAAAGCAAAATAATTCGGATAATTAAGATGGAAGTATGTGCAACAAATGCGAACAAATTTATCGCAGAAGATTGTTAAGGATAATCTCGCTACCTCGTAATAATTGATTTTATCAACGGAAATATGATTTTAATGATGCAGTGGGCAAAAAAAAGTATGTATTGCAAAACTGATTAATTGTTTAAAAATTGAACATCGATGATATTTATTGCTTTAGAAAAAAAAAGTACATAATAACAAAGCATAGAAATACTAAACGCATTGTTAGGACAAAATTAAAGGATAGTTATATAGCAATACTTAGTACCCAATTTTTAACATAGTTATTGCAACACATAATAATTACCATAATAATTAATAATGAGAATTAAAAATTTTTGATATTTGTTAAATTTGAAGTTGAAAACGGACAATTTTTAATAAAATATCTTTGTAAAAAAGGATCATTTGAGATAAACTCTTCAAACAATTCAGAAAAACCTATCAGATCAAAATATAAATGGATAAAACATTCAAAACCTTTTATTTATCTCGCTGTTCAAGTATCTTGGTCACTAGACAATTTTTGTTTCTCATTTTTTATTATTTGATACAGAATGTATCAAATCTGTATTTTGACAGATATTTAACTAAGTATCTATTATTTTTTGTTTAGTTATTGAATAAAAAGCAATACTTGCTAATGCTAATTTCTTTTATATTGTCTTTTTCAAGACAAATCTACGTTCATACATTTCTTTACCCACTGTGAATATTTTTAACGAGTTAAATTTATATTCGCACAAATTATTTCATTTTCACAGGCAAAATAGAAAGATAGATTGAAAATCCTTATCAAGAGGCTCAATCAATCGAAAAAGCGAGTTAATAATGATAATAGTGATTGCTAATAAGCATGTTGAAGGTACAATAGAAAGTAAAAAAAGAAAAAACAAAAAAACCCGAGATCTTTATACATGTCTTTATCCGACACTACACATATTCATACTTTAAGTATAGATATATAAATATATCAGGGAATTATATCAAGCTCCCGAAACGGCGGAACGTATATTCTATGTATTTTCTTTTTTTTCAATAAAGGTAAAATAGATAAAAATGCATTGATTTCACAGAAGTTTATTTCTGGTCGTAATAATAAACTGCGCACTTTTTCCAAATTAATTGTCACCCACGATTTCTAAAACGGAATCGCAAGCACGCATTTTGTACATTTTTACATCGTGCCAGCTTCTACATTACGAGAAGTGCAATGAAATGCAAGTAAAATAACAACAAAATTTGATACTGACATATGTATATATATGTTAGACTGCACGGCATAGCACACATATACATATGCATATTATATATTATATTTTTATATATTATATATACATCTATTTTTTTTTTTTTTTATATATATATATATATATATATATTTTTTTTTTTTCAAATGGACATTTTATAAAATACATATACATATTAACAAGTAAAAATTGATATTACACACTTATCACGTAATTAATATTACACGAAAAATTTTGCCATATAATGTTACGTCGTGTCACTGCTACTTAAACCGTTCTTTTGGTCTAACTTATTCGCATTGGTCTTAACTGTATATATGAAAAAGCTTAGAGCTTCCTTCTCCACGATGGGGATGGTCTTGAAATGCTTCATGAGAGTCTGCAATAAGAATTTTATGATACATTATTTTTTTTAATTGTCATGATAATGTCAAGAAGCAACTTTACTTGTTAGTATCAGTTATTAAATAATAAAACATCGTACAGTGAAAATATAATAGAAAAACAGTATAGGAATTCTTCATTTTAAGCCTATTCTTTGTAGTTGAATTTCTTACATCTTTATCTTTTTTTTTCTCTCCAATATGAAAGAAGGAAAAGATGAACCCCCCCCCCTCCCCGTAAGAAGTTTAGCTGAAAAGACTGAATCTTTCATTTATACTCAAAATTGAATGGCATTTGTTGAATTCGAATGCGAAACGAATTCGTAGGAGAGCCAAGAATTAGGTTTAGGTGCAGACGAAACATTTATCGAAGTAGGCGGTACAAGGCGGAGCTTCTCCCTTCCTTTGCCCTTGAATTAATAGACATGTTCTTTGTCCTGAATTGATCTATGTTGATCCATGATCCATGTTATATTTTATTATGGATATAAGCGAATATATTTAAACGGCATTTTCGCGAACTTCAAACATATATTTATTTTAAATATGGCACTAGGGATCGTATTCTCAAAAATATCATAAATATAAAATTTCGTAAATATAAAAATTTCGTAAATATAAATATTTACGAAAATATTACTATATTAGATGTAGTAAAAAGAAATCCATTCAATTTCATGCAAAAATAATAGATTTCTTTTTATTACACCTAATATATTATACGTATATAGATTTCCTAATATTTCATATGTGATATTTTTCGAGAATCGGGAACTAATTCGGATACAAAGAACATATCTAGAAACAAACGTATTGCGTTTTTTAAAAAGTTAGTTACTATTATTTTATATCATATTTTCACTGTGTTTTATTTTGTTTTCTTGTCTTTGAAAGTAATAATGAAAGTAATAATGAATGATATAAATCTATTTATTATTATTTATTTAACAGTCATTTGGAAAAGATCTGGGAAGAAAAACTATTTGGTCCATATTTACCTTATTTTTATCGATAAGTGCATTTTTCAGATTTTATATCTAATGTAAACTATATGCTAAATGCATTTATCGCTAAAAATGAGTTTAAATACAGACTTTGATTTATCTATTTTTATCTATTTGTTTTTATATATCTTGAAATATCCTAAAATACATATATTTTATATATCCTTTTTACAAATAATTTAATTTATATAACAATTATTATGATTATTGTTTATATTTAAACTATATACGTATATACATATATACATATATTAATTTGAATACATAAATATGTGTAAGTATATACATATTTAACTTGTTATTGCATGTGCTAGATAGAAAATAATTTTACTATACTTACATCTGCTAACTGAGCCTTGTTAAGACCTGGTCGAGTAGAAACCTTGTAGTGCCTTTTGTACCGCCTCAAAGTGCCGACTTGCAGTTGGAAGAGGTCAACTTCTGGAACGTCGTTGTCAGTTTCACCCGAGTCTTCTTCGGAATCCTTGCGTCTTCGCTGTTGCTGCTGTTTGGTTCTTGCGCACTGGATCACTTGCTTGTGATAATCACAGATGTATATATGTCGTGCCTGTACATAAAGAAAGAATATAACAGAATAGCAATAATTATCATATACAAATGCAAAGTTCGCACTGATATCTTGCACCGGAAGTTTTGTCGTTCTGAAGTTCTGAAGTTCTGAAGTTTACTTCATCATGTCAATTCGCCGCAAACGAAAATTTTCGAATAAAGTGACATCTTATTGTGTATATAATACTATGTCAAAGTAATTATTTTACAAAAGTGCCTCGATCTATAAAAGAATTTTTTGGAAATGTTCAGAATGTGGAAATGTCAGAGTGTTGATTCTCTGACGTCTTTCGGGCCAAGCACTATTTTTATAGAAACAAGATATGAGATTAAATTATATTAAAAATAATAAAGAAAAATAAGAAACGTATATAATAATAATATAAAGGTAATTATTAAAAATATTTTTGATAATTACTTATACTTAATACTTTTGATGAATATAATTTTGTCAACTGAATAATCCGCGCATCGTTTTCTACGCTCGTCTCCCAACAGTCTCCATTTTTTAAATTATTTTTTATTGTTATCGGCTCGCAATTATATCTGGAATAAATTAATTTAATAAAAGAATTTAATAAAAGAATATATAATGTATTATTTGTAACATCCAAAATTTGACCGATCTTGGCATTCTCTCTATCGTATTTGATGTATTCACATATACGGTCGTGCTTAAAATTCTTAATATAATTATTTTTTATTTAGTTTCGAAATACATTAACGTTCATTTATATATAAATTGTGTTGCAATAAACATAATTTATTTAGGCTGGATTGTTCTATGTTTCAATAAACTTCAGCTGACTCTCTTACTCTCTCGTACTCTTACTCTTTTATTCTTTTGTTTATCCATTAGATAAATTATCACACAATTTATCTGAAGATGGAACACAACCAGCCTTATTCATTTATCTCTTTGTTATATTTCGCTATCAATACTAAATACAATAATTAAATGTCAATAATCGAATTATCTCAATTATCAATTGAAGCTACAGGTATCTACATCTTGAAAAAATACTCTTGAGAATTTTCGAATTTTTCAGATTTTTTGTTTACAATTCCAGATAAGATAAGAACGAATATTTTTTAAATGAGCTTTAAAATAAATTGGCATGCAAATAATGCAAATTGTATATTGTAAATTAGCAGAAGATAGCAATTTCGAAATCATATCTATTATTTCCTACAATTGAAGACGAAACCTATAGAATAGTGTAAAAAATTTTCACAATAATATTAATATAGCTATCTTTTCTGCTGAGTGTTTTGTTTTGTTTTACTGTCACTAATTTTTATAAAAATTCACGAACACAAAGAAAGTACGTGAATATATACGTGTCTGCTATACTTATTGCTAACTAATTGTTAATTTACATTATTAAGTAAAATATGATTATTAAAAAAAACAATGTTTTCAGAAAGAAACAAAAATAAGTACAATTTCCAAAAAATATCCCTTAGCACGACAAAATTTCATAAAAACCCCTAATTTTCAACAGTAAAAAAGAAATCTCTTAAAAAATCTAAGGTTTTTTAGTTTAAAAAAATTTTTTTTTAATTAGCATCAGCGAATTCTTCTAATAACATTTCCTAAAATAATAATATACCTAATAGAGCGCGTATATTTTATATATAATTTTCTCTTTTTATGAAATTTCTGAAAAGTCATTGTTGTAGTTCCACGTTTCCTCAATATTTCCGAGTGCTTCTGAGAGAGAGAATCGGCGTTCGCGGCAATTGGCGGACGTGCGCGTTTGCCATGTTATGCTCACCATGTGATCCAAGTTGAGTTTCAGCCGCCGCTGAGTGACCGTCTTTTGTATACGCTTGCTGTAGGATGCATTGCCGGCCGGACGGGAGCATCGTTCACTCTCGTCGACGAGGCAGCAGATCTGATCCGCCGCGCCCCGCGAATCCTCCTCACCGGTGCTAAAACCGTTCATTTTCTGCTCCGGTTCGGAAATAGTTCTCTCGATCGCGATCGCGATCGTTCAGCTGCGCGGTTTAGCGTCGTCTCCGACGACGACGGTGGTTCGCGCGGTTGATGCACTCGTGTCAAAAGTCTTGGATCGCGATGAAACAGCCGGCGATCGCAGGACGATAACCACGATGACGATGACAGTGATAACAATGACGACAACGACAACGGACGCACGGTAGGAAACGTCGCTTGCTCATAATTCTCCTCCGCGCAAACCGAGGCTAATCGAGCCGCGAGCTCCCCTACTTCTCCCCTCGCGGTCTCGTCGGCCCTTTTAGTTCAGGGATGGCGTATATACCGTATATACGCAGGGTATATACCTCCGTATGCGTTAACTGGAGTCGAACCCACGCCAAGAGACGCGTCACGCTGTGTCGCGAGTCGCGACGTGACGCGTCGTGACGCGCCGCGTCGCAACAGTATTTGCCGGGTAATCGCCGATCGTAGAATCGCAGCTGATCGGTTGGACGCCGACGCCTGGTATTCGCTTGACGTGCACCGGAGTAACCGACGCCCGGGGCTCGCGAGCGTCGCCGCCGGGAAATCCGGGACGAGGTCTCTCGCGGCCGCCAAGCACCAGGAAGATTCCCAAGCCACCGGCGATAACTCTTGTTCCGCACTTCCCGTTCAACGATATTTTATACGATATTGATACCGCAAACACGCAGCTATCAACACGAATGAAAATTTGGATCTGAGAAAATCACTGTTTAATGATTTCGCAAAATGCCGATAAGAATATCGTTAACGACGACACAACCGTCAAGTCGAATGAACACGCACAATACACGATATACCTTCAACTGTCTGACTGTAGTCCGACTACGACTAATTCGACTCAGCCAAAGTAGTGAGCGAGCCACCTGCGATTGCCAGACATGCCCCGTAGTTGCGCATGCGCGTTGTTTACAGCTTAGCGCGCAGTACTGTAGCCATTAGGTTAAGTTAAAGTAATTTGATGTGGTGCCATGTGGACCACGAAGGACGTCTGCGCGCCAAACCGGAAAACAGGAGGTGTAAGGAATTCCAAGAGGAAAATAGAAGTGAGGTAAAATATTTATGAAAATAAATCGCAATGGAGTCGGGAAAAAGGCCCACAAAAAAGATGTATCCGAAAATTTAGAAGATCTTTAGACAAAAATATCTTTAAAGATTGGTTGGGAGAATGACAATAAAGCTTGGTGTAAAATTTGTAATATTTCGCTTAAATGTTGTTGATATAATTTATCAAAATATGCTAAATCAGCTCCTCATATAGATAATAAATAATGTAGAAATTGATACCTCACAATAAGAGGTAATTTCTATATATTAATATGTTATAATATGTTTATAATTCTATTTCTCTTTGGGGCGATTAAGGACGTCAGTTTCATCGGAGATAGATACTCTACTGGCGCTTTAGGTTGCGCATGCGTAAGTGCGAGGCATATCTGGCACCCGGCTGCGAGATTATCTACACTTCTGCAAAAGTTGCTTTTTCTCGATGCGCGTGCGCGACAATGCGTGAAAAAACAACCAGTACATCAAGTGCTGCCATTTCTTTTGAGCTGTTAAAAAGCATAGACTAGTTAATATGTAGAACCGCCAAACATGCATGTATCAGTATATAAAAGCAAGAGTGAGGGAAATAAAATGTTTATTATAAGATTTCTTTATTTAACATTGATACATAACAAAGATGTATGCTTTTTTCCATCAATATAGATTAATTTTAATTTCGATTCAATTTATTTTTCATCATTTTCTAATTCTAAAAGTCAGAAAAAGATGAAGAGTAAGCGAAAACGAGATTAAAGTTAATCTACACTGATGGAAAGTGGCAGTAATAACTGCGTTCAGCAGATCACAACAACCATTTGGCAACTGTTTTATTCTTTGCTGAGATTGGGCCATTTCTCTTGATCTAAAAGCATAACTCAATCAATACGAAGAAAATTTCCAAATTTGCAAAATAAACGTTCTGTTGAACGCAACTAATTGGGTGCATTCAGTACTCACTGAGCGCTCAGTGAGTTCTTATATCTAATTGGTGTATATTTTTAGATCTAATAGAATATGTCAATCAGATGCAAGAACTCAGTGAGCGATTGTGCTTCTGAACCTATTGAAAACACTCAATTCACAATGTTAAGATATCTTTTCAAGCTGGCGTTTGATGCTTATTTAATATTAATTTGAATATACATGATCGGATAAAATCTCCGATTTTAAAAATTATTATTTTAAATTGTTTGTATTTTGTATGAAGAGTTTTGAAGTGCAATTAAAAAGGTTTGTGAATCGTTCTATTAAATGTAATTAATGAATCTTTTTTGGACCAGTTACTTGAGTTTGAAATAATCATCCGGATCTAAATTTAATAATGTTCATACATGGAATCGTTTGTATTTTGTATGAAGAGTTATGAAATATCATTAAAAACATTTGTAAGTTTTCCAGACACTTTTAAATATTTGAATGTCATGTATCTGACCGAAATATAGATTAAGACGCTACGGTGACGAAAATTCCGTTAGACGCGATCATTAGTCTCTCTAATATTTCGGTATTCCTGATTTTTTTCCGATCACACCATTCATAAAGACATAAATTCAATAGACACAGATAATAACGAGCCAATCAGAGTATAAGTTCGATCTCAGAACTCTGAAGATCGTTATTCTCTGTTCTCTGTGTCTATTGTGTTTAAGATCCTGCGCACAATAGAAGAAATAAGGAATTAGGAATAAACGATTTCAATCTATCAGAAACTGTGTATTCCGATGTATCCGATTTTTGATAGGTTAAAATTTTTTATTCTGTATTCCTAATTCTATATTTCTACTATTGTGGGCAGGGCCTAAGCCTTAACAAAATTGCTCCGTTCAGTAGGAAAAGTAGTTGTTGAGGTTAGAAAATTTGTCATGTAGACAGTGGAGTGTATGGATTAATGTTTTGGTTCGGGGCGTAGCCGCATCATGTTGATCCCTAATTGCCTAAAAGTTGCAGCCTAAACAGTTACAGCTTAAAAAGACCGTTCTAAAAAAACTGTTTTCACAACCCATTGTCTTCATGGATTAGAAATATTCTAAACGGACACTGTCTACATTGCAACTTCTAGGCGGTTAGACTTCAAACGGGTAGAATATTTATTTTTGTTCGGATTGGCATAGTCGCCCCGAATTAATAAGCCCTAGTCTATATATTCCCCTATCTACAAGACAAATTTTCTAATCACAACAATTACTTTTCCTGCTGAACAATTTTGATACGAATGGTACGATCGAAAAAGAACCAAGATTACTGAAATACTAGATTACCGATCGCATTTAACGGAATTTCCATGACCGTAGCGCCTGAATCTATATTTCGGTCAGATACATGACATTTAAATATTTAATTAAAAGTGTTAGAAGACTCACAAATGTTTTTAATAGTATGTCATAATTCTTTATATGAAGTACAAACGATTCCATGTATTGGAGTCCATGTATCGACGCTTTTTATCAGCATGAAAAGGTACTTAAAGTTAAAGGTGCTTCCACATAGACTGACATTTTTTCTGCATTTTCATGAAATACTCAAAAACTGGTCGTTTCACTGACAAAAAGGATTGCGTGTTAAAATTGATATTTGTCAATCTTGATCCTTTTTGTTATTGAAACGACTGAGTTGATCAACCAACTCCATTAATGACTGGGATTAAATTTTAGAATTGTTAATTACAAAAAACTGAAAATATCTTAATTTTCTAGCAGCTGTAAAGAACATTATTATAATAATGCCTTTTTTTTTAATTAAAATAATTAATTTTACATATTTTTAGTATCTCTAATTTAAGCTCGAAGCACAAACCTTTGCTTAATGAATAATATATAAAACATACGTAAATTAACCAATCAGAGTTTTTTATTTCATGGAAATAAATGAACGTTGATTAGAATTCATTTTCTTATACATTTTAATTTAGTCGATTAATTTAATTGGAATTGATGAGATTGGCCTATACGTTTGCTCTTTTCGAGTTTACATTCTGTTAAACATGGAATAATGGCTTCATGTTATATGTATTTAAATTTTAGAAAAAAAAAAGGAAAATGAGGAAGCACGAGGCAATAAAATCAAATTTAACATAATAACGGGAAATAAAATGTGTATAAATATTTTTTAAATAAAAATTTAGATAAAAATTCATTTGCCAAATTAAATTTTTGAAACTTTCAGAAAATTTACATTTTTTTTTAATTACAAACTATCATTTGGATGTATTTTTATGTTATCTTGGTCATTTAAAATACTGATGAAAACGATGCAATCATAGTATACGCCAGACATTCTCACATTTTTATTAATTTGATTTTTCCTCCCTCTTTCCTTATAATATCGAAAAGAACTTTCTATTTTGTGAACGAGTAAAAATATCGGACAAGATAGGCATGTTTTCGAGTATACAATGTCTAACAATTTTTTGTTTCATGTCTCCGCATAAATAATTCCATCTCGAAAAATAGTATTTTTTTCCTAGACAACAAACGAAACATAGGTATTTTTTTCTCCTAGATTACAAACGAGAAAGAGCGCGGACGAAGATATGACACAAGTTTTCCTCATTAGTTTTTCCACGCAATGTTGGCGATCCTGCATGTAACCGCCGTAGAGTGCCGCGTCGTTCGATCGTCGACTGGCGCCACCTACGATAGAAATGATGCCTAACCTCAACAATCTCGCGTAGACGGTCACGACGATCAATCGTCGAACGAAACAAACGACGGCGCACGGTGTCGGCCGTTCGATCAGCCGTATTTGAATAAGACCATCATAGGAGTGATAAGAATAGTCGCATTCACTGTCGAAAAATCAGCTTTGCGCGCACGCATTTTCCCGCCCTTTCAGCCGGCCGACATTTTATTTGGTGGGGGGCAAAAAGAAACGCATCAAAACATAAAAGGTCGGCGCTGATTGGCTTACTTTTTGCGGCTTATCTGAAATAAGCCAATGGTAATGGGAGATTTTCCCCGTACACTGGCCGTATGCCGCACGAGTGGCGTGGGGTCGCGATATTCGAAGCTGAAGAATCCTTTTAGCCGTAGCGGATCCCGTTCCAGGTAAGAAAAATCCAAATATTTTTTGCATGTCGCGTTGACAGATCTGCGGGACGCCGCGTGGATGTTCTTTACGTACATATGTACCGTCGGACCCGCCCAACACGAGCGTGTCCGCTGGCCGTAAGTCGCTACCGTGCTGCGTTTCTCGTACGTATACCTTTTATTTCCGTACTACCGTCAGCACACGGCAGCAAATGGCTGCCTGGACGAACGCTTCGTGCTCGTACGTCTCGCCGTTCTGTCGTCTCGTCGTGCGTTATTGAGATACCGTGCGACGAAAAGACGTACGTAACGTACAACGGCGAGACCTCGGCTACGCGGATCGACTCGTGGAGACGCTCACAGACGCTCGCTGTTGCGACCGCCGCCACCGCCGCCACCGCTGCCGCTCACTCGCTCGATCGCCGCGTCAACCACGTATTGACGTCAAGGCCTACGCGCGCGTGCACATCTCGCGTCTTTTGCGTTGCATCGCGCGCTAAACCCGTCCATTGCCGACAAGTGGACCTCCCGAGGAGGATAAGCCGTAGTTGAAAAATCAATTCCACTCTCTGTCATCCTTCCCAACATGCATGGCGTGTGCTATGGTTGGGACGCGCCGTCAATCGTTTTCCCGCTTCGAAATCTCTCGAAAGCTGTCAAGAATACAAGCGAGTGAGCGAGCGAGCGAGAGCGAGAGAGTCTTGGGACCTCGGAGAAGATCGACGTCTTCCTATTTTTCTCTACATCTCTCTCTCTTTCTCTCTCACTCCCTCCCTCCTGCGCTCGGATTATTTTTCTCGGCGAGCTCGT